TTAGCGGTGTTGCACCTTCGGCTAGAGATGTCTGCTTGCCACGAACAAATTCCGCACAATCCAGTTGATTCTCTGCTATCAGTTGCCGAATGTCTCCAACAGCAATCCTGTCTGTAACATCTGTGGTAAGGCATCCCCTCTTTTATAAGTTACCTCAGGGTTACCATGGTGTCTAATTCTGCTTTTATCCGCTAATATAGCTAATACGTCATGTCGCTTGAATTGTTCAGCCAGTTCTGCAGCAGTCTTTTTCTTCAGAGTCCTGTAAAAAAAAGTAATAAAATCAATATATCGATCCATTACAACTCACTTTTTCGTTGGGTCAGCTCCAAGATCTAACAGAGCACAGAAGACGCTCGTAGAGGAGCACATTAGGACACAGGACAAGGCAGAGAGGCCTAACAGGGAATCAAGGGTTTCATCAATGGGAGCACCTCTAAAAATTAAATTAACTCAAAAATGGAGGAAATTTTCTTTGACCGTATGTAGTATGAAAAAAGAAGTTCTTACAATTCGATTGAAACCGTCACGATCAAATCTTCAAATTCGTCACTTTTCTGTTCTTTTTGTCAAATTTGAAATACTTTTATAATTAAAAGTTCCAGAAAATTTAACCTACCTATGGTTCAAAAATCCACAAATTTGCGGACTACTCCGAAATGCAGCAGCTATCAACGGTGTCGGACATAATCCCATAGTTGGTGGAGAAACTTCCAGACGCAATGAGACTAACTTCTTCACTATGTGCAGGTGTGCTGAATTTATAAAAGAGATTGTAGAGGAAGTTAAGTATTTGTACTCGATTAGAAAAACGGATTCGATATTCGAACAGTCAAATAGCCAAAGTGATTTCAATTGGAAAGGTGAAAACTGTAAAGGAAGATGAATTTCAATATTTACCTCCAGCAGCTGCTAATGTCAGAGCGGTCGCACCCATATATCTAGAAGACTCAGTCTGTATGACAATTCTTACAAAATACAGATGGGATAACAATTAATTGGCCCAAAATTTAGTAAAAACCTCATTAAAAGCAACCTCAGCCCACTAACAGTCAGTGCCCACTAGTGTGGGCGGAGCTTCTTCGCTCTCTTATTGGTCGGCTTTAATTGCAGCACAAAAATCATGTTATTAGAAAGAGTTCATAAATCAGGCTAACTCACGTGGTGCGATGAATATCAGCTCCCCTTTGTAGTAATGTCTCTACAACGGTCATTTTTCCTTCCCTGCAGGCATGATGGAATGGAGTCATTCCTACTTGATTACAAGCTTCAAGATCTGCCCCTTCATCAAGAAGATAGGTCACCTAAAAAGTGGATCAATTTTAGTACTTTATATTTTTTTTAGAGAAGAAATTATAGCCCATATTTTATCGTGCAATTGGATTATTCAAAGTTGCTTCAAGTTTTTTTCTTTATTTCAGCAATCGATATTGGGACTACGAGAGAGCAGAGAAACAGAGTATAAAGTGGGCGGGCCAATTTGCAACTTTCGGCACGGTTGTACAATTCAGAATAGCACCTTACCATAGAATTATTTCCATTGAAAGCTGCTATTTGTAAGGCGGTCACATGGTCATCATCACACGAATCGATATTTACACCCATTCGCAGCAGCTCGCCCACCTGAAATCACTTATCAATTTATTTTCTCATCTTTACAGGAACTTTCAGAACTTGGTTAGTAATCAAAATCAGATAAAATATTTTAAGATACATGAAAAAATTAAGTAGAAATGCAGCACTCCCTATATTTTGCAGCTCTGCCTCACCTTTGTGATGTTTCCCTCATAGGCAGCATTGAGCAGTTCCATTTTTGGAATATCCATTT